TTAGCAGATGGGCTTGGGTCACTGGCCCTGAAGACACATCCTTGGCCTCAACACTGGCCCTGAGGAAACATCCTGGGCCTCTGTCACTGGCGCTGAAGTCACACCCTGAACTTGGGTCACTGGCCCTGGAGGCCCACCCGGGGCCTGTCTCACTGAACATGAAAGCAGACCCTGGACCTCGGTCACTTTTGTACAAGGACACACTGGGCCTATGTCACAGGTGCAGGACACACAGCCTTGGCCTGGGTCACTGGCCCTGAAGACACACACTTGGGTTTGGTCACTGGCCCTGAAGTCACAAACTTGGCTTGGGTCACTGGCCCTGAAGACACATCCTGGGCCTTGGTCACTGGCACTGAAGGCCAACCCGGGGCCTGTGTCACTGGATATGAAAGCACACCCTGGGCCTCAGTCACTTTTCTAAAGGACACACTTGCCCTGTGTCACAGGTGCAGAACACACACCCTGGGGCTGTGTCAGTGTGCTGAATGCACACTTGTGGCTTGGGTCACTGATCCTGAAGACATACCCTGAGCCTTGTTCACTGCCCCTGAAGACACACACTTTGCCTGTGTCACGGGCCCTGAAGCACACTATGGTCCTCAATCATTGTTGGTGATGGCAACCCTGGGCCTGTGTCACTGGCCCTGAAGACACACACTTGGCCTTGGTCACCGTCCTTCCAGGCACACCCTGGTCTTGGGTCACTGGGCAGAAGGCACATGCTGGGCTTGGGTCACTGGTGCTGATGGCAACGTTGGGCCCGAGTCACTGGCCCAGAATACACACACTTACCCTTGGTCACTGGCCCTGAATTAGCAGATGGGCCTGGGTCACTGGCCCTAAAGATACAAACTTGGTCTGTGTCACGGGCACTGAAGTCACACCCTTGGCCTGGGTCACTGGCACAGAAGGCACACCCTTGGCCTGTGTCAATGGACATTAAGACACACCCAGGGTCTTTGTCAGTGTGCTGAACGCACATCCATGGCCTGGGTCACTGACCCTGCAGAAACAGACTTAGTCAGGTCACTGGTCCTGAAGGCACACTCTTAGCCTTGGTCACTGGCCCTGAAGACACACGCTTGGCTTAGGTCATGGGCACTGAAAGCAAATGTGTGGTTTAGGTCAGTAGCCCTAAAAATCACACACTTGGCCTTGGTCACTGTCCTTCCAGACACAACCTGGGCTTGGGTCACTGGGCATAAGGCACACACTGGGTTTGGGTCACAAGCACAGAAGGCACACCCTTGGCCTGTGTCAGTGGACATTAAGACACATCCTGCGCCTGTGTCAGTGTGCTGAATGCACACCCATGGCCTGGGTCACTGACCCTGCAGAAACACACTTAGCCTGGGTCACTGGTCCTGAAGACACACCCTTAGCCTTGGTCACTGGCCCTGAAGACACACTGGGCCTGCATCACTGGTACTAAAGGTACACACTCAGAATAGGTCACTGGCACTGAAGACACACTGGGCCTGGGTCATTGGCCCTGAATTAGCAGATGGGCCAGGGTCACTGGCGCTGAAGGCACACCCTGGACGTGGATCACTGGCCCTGAATCAGGCCCACCCGGGACCTGTGTCACTGGACATGAAAGCACACCATGGGCCTCGGTCACTTTTGTACAAGGACACACTTGGCCTGTTTCACACGTGCAGAACGCACACCCTTGGCCTGGGTCACTGACCCTGAAGAATCCCAGATAACCTGGGCCAATGGCCCTGAAGAAACACACTTTGCCTTGGTCCGTGTCTTTCCAGACACACCCTGGGCTCGGGTCACTGGGCAGAAGGCACACGCTGGGCTTGGTTCACTGGCGCTGATGGCAACCTTGGGCCTGTGTCACTGGCCCAGAAGACATACACTTGGTCTGGTTCACTGGCACAGAAGCCATACCCTGGTCCTGGGTCACTGGCGCTTAAGGCACACCCTTGGCCTGCGTCAATGGACATTAAGACACATCCTGCGCCTGTGTCAGTGTGCTGAACGCACACCCATGGCCTGGGTCACTGACCCTCCAGAAACACACTTAGCCTGGGTCACTGGTCCTGAAGACACAGCCTTAGCCTAGGTCACTGATCCTGAAGACACACACTTGACCTTGGTCACTTGCCCTAAAGCACACCCTGGACCTTGGTCTCTGGTGCTAATGACAGCCTTGGGCCTGTGTCACTGGCCCTGAAGGCACACCCTGGACCTTGGTCACTGGCCTGAAGGCACATGCGTGGCCTGTGTTGGTGGCCCTAAAGTCACACACTTGGTCTTGGTCACTGGCCTTCCAGACACACCCTGGGCTTGGGTCACTGGTGCAGAATCCCTACCGTGGGAGTGGGTCACTGGCACTGAAGGCACACCATTTGCCTGGGTCACTGCTGCTGGGTTCACACCATTGACCAGGGTCCCTGGCCCTTGAGACACACAGTTGTCCTGGGATGGAGACATAACCGGGCTCTGGGAGATGACACGGGCTTGCAGACATATATGTGCTCTCAGACATGACTATGGCTCGGGAACATG